CACACACACACACACACACACCTCAAGTCAAGCAGCTTGACATGTTCACCCCGACTCACTCTCTATCATTACTAAATAACACAGCTGAGGTTTTTGTTGTACCACACCTTCCTTTCCTCTGTCTGTATTCCTCCATTCTTTCTCTCTATCTTTCTTTTTCCACCCTCCTCTCTAGCTAGACATATTGAGTCAGATCCTGATGCCTTGTGGGAAGCAATATTTAGGTCATGAAGTTTCCATTATTTAAGAGGACAGTGAAATGCCCAAACACTGTTGCTAATGACAACACAGCTTAAAATTCACTGCAAAACAAAGCCTGCTCCCCCGGATGAATAACATCATTATAATTAGTGTTATGTTGCCAAACAGTGCTGTATTTACCCACTAAAGTTCAAAGTATCGATGAAAAGCAGCAGAATCTAACATGTTACAGCCTCAACATTCCCACCCTGTACTGTCCTCACAATGACGAGGCTGGGCTGAGTCCAGTTTAAAGGAAGCAAACGATTTCAATGGGCTGATGGAGCAAGTGCTCAAGAACACAATAGAAACAGCAATTTCTTCTTAGGGACAAGGTGTGGTTCCCAAATTTCTTTAAAAGACAATAATAGATGCACATTCTTTCTCGATTGGTAATGTTTGCAGTGCAGTGTTTTTACATGCAATGTACTGTATTTGTCCAGATATTAAATTCTAAACACAGATGGCCTATGCAGGTAGGTGACGCCGTCTGTAGTTAATACAGAATGCAGCAGCTCGCTGTCTCACTGCTAAAAGAAAGCGTGGTCACATCACACCAGTATTGGTGTCTCTTCATTGACTACTCTTCAAATTCAGGATTGATTTTAGGCTTGAATTGCCTTCTTAAAGATTTTCAATGGGCTGGCACCACTTTATTTAATTGAACTATCCATCCCACACACTTGAGGTTGACCAACCTGAGGTTACTTGATGTCCTAATCTCTGGAATAGTTTACCTACTCATATTAAAACCACTGAGACCCTTGAAACCACTAGTTACAGCTTCAGTTGTTCTTAATAACCCCCCAAGAGGCCCATTATTGTAAGAAACAACATGTTTTCATTCTAGTGTCCATGTGAGAACAGTCAAATAATGAAGTCTCTTTCCCACACAGGATTTCTCTGTGTTTTAAACTGCAACAATATGGACATTGCAACATAGACCACAGATATTCACACTCTTGCTCATAGAGAATCTGCACCACCCAAACTTGACTGTCTCCTTCTACAGCTGAAATCTACTCTATGAACCTTATGAACTAATATCTATGTTTTCCATTGCTTCTTCTGATACAATGAAGTGAAAAGGAAAAATGCGTTGTGTGATAATCAGCGAGAAGAACTCTACTATCTGCAGTGTGTGTGTGTGTGTGTGTGTGTGTGCCTTCACAGATTTGCAGAAACACAGAAACACAGAAACATAAAACATCCTAAAGTGCATCTGGATCACATGGACACACTGGCAGCATTTCAACAGAAAGGCTTACCCATGAGTCTCATGTTTAAATTCTACAGAAATAGTCACAACTCTATACTTAGATTCTGTGGGAAAGGTGGCAGCATCCAAAAAGATATGTGTGTGTGTGTGTGTGTGTGTGTGTGTGTGTGTGTGTGTGTTCGTTGACTCCTTTATGACATGCATGTCTCCCATAGAGCCATATTTACTGTTAATATGTTCAACAAGGCACTGAAAACTGCCACAGAGATTTTGCAGTAGAGCTGCACAATAGCTTCAGCAGCAGTACTGCAGAATATGTGTTGACATATTCAGTTTTTATGAATTTTGATGATCTTGAGTTCAACATCTTAGCTTTTCATCTTAGCTGGCTGTCGTATAAAAGCTAATTCCATGTACATGAAAAAGGACCAGAACAGAAATAGAGCAGTGTAGCTGCAAGTTCACTTGAGTTTGTTTCCATATCACAACCACGATCTACGACCTGTTGTTGCTGCCAAACAAGTGCAAGAACAGAGACTGTTTCACACTGTAACACAGTGACTACACAGAAATACACTGGCTGTGGACGAGTAATTATGACGACAAATACATAGTTTACATGTCAACTTTGCTACTTGACAAACCCACACAATTTTTAGAGTTTGTAGTAATTTAGTTAGAACAGGACAAAAAATGCAAATGCGAAAATGAAAAGAAATAATTAAAATTAAAACATTTATTTCAAATTGAAATTTGAAGCTGTTGCAATATTATTTTTTTTAACTTCAAAGACTGATTTCTGCTCCTGAGTGAAGGTTATGGTTTTAAACTCCACTTCACCAAAACCTCCATCAGTTGTGTTATACCTCCTCACTGTGCTGACACAATTCATAAGCATTATGTCAATATATTTATTGGAGTTTCATTATCTTATATTGATATTAATAAGAATTACATTGTAATTTGTACATTGTAATATATTGTCTTATCAGCTGTGCTAACAAGCAGCTCATATACAAAAAAAAATTTAAACACGAGCCTGTGTGTTGTTCGGCTCTTTACTCCAACGGTCAATACGTCAATTCACAATACATGCCACAACAGCACTTTTAAGCAGCTGTGGTTTTTTTCCTTGCTAGAGGGGATTCTCTTACTTTAATTATAATGCAGACCACTTTGACTGAGAGTATAGAGCTGGTTCATCATGTAATGTGTGTGTCCTTGTGCGTGGGTTCTGGTTAATGGACTATAGAAAGACAAACTGATGGACAACCGTGTCCGGTGGTCGTCTGTCTGTTAGCACGCCCACATGCCGTGACTGACTGGCTATGAGCTATAGAACATAGGAAACACTGTACACACCATTAACAACTTCCTGTGAATGTTCTTTGCTGTGAAGCAGTCGGGGATGGTTCTTTACAGGGGAAAGAACATTTAAAAAAACTGCTTCAGGACATATTATTGAAACACTGTTTGGACAGATGGGAGCAGATCCGTATAGAAACTACAAAGGCTGTTAATGTGTACAAACTGTCTCCATAACAACGGATCATAAACCAGGGGACAGTTAACATAGGATTCTATTGAAAACTTAAATTAAATGTCAACATTACCCTCAAAAGCTTTGTTACACAGGAGCCATGTTTAAAACAGTGTTAAAGCTCAAACATCAACTGTTTGATGAAATGTTACAAGTTCAGAGCATGAACCTCCTTTTCTCCCACAATCAGAGCATGTGAAAGTCCTTCTGACTTAAAGGTTCAGTGTGTAGAATTTAGTGACATCTAGAGGTGAAGTTGCATGTTGCAGCTGAATACTCCTCATTTCACCCTCCTCTTCCAAACATGAAGGAGAACCTGTGGTGAACTTCAGTTGTCATGAAAACTGAAAAGGTTTTAGTTTGTCCAGTTTGGGGGCGACAGTAAAAAAACATGGCGGCCTCCACAGAGAGGACCCCCCTCCATGTAAATAGAAAGTTTTTAAATAGAAAGGGACCATTCTATGGTAAAGAAAACAACAATTCATACAATTTAGATGAAACACACCAGTGAAAACCTCACAAGGATTATTTTATATTCACCTAAATCTTACACACTGAAGCTTTAAGTAAAATGTTGGGTGCAAAATGCAAATGTTTTTGTATGTATCTATAATGTTGCAGTATTTAGACTCACACTTTTCAGTGTCAAGTGAACAACAGTGCCACTAAAATGGTGGTTGTGGATTAAAAACTGTCATTTCTCAATGTTCACAGCAACTTTCAACAACATGTAATGATTTACAGTGAAGTTGTAAATGAACAAGTCCAGGCTGTAGAACTTCCTGTCAGACACTTTACAATCAATGCATCCAGTCAATATTCCAATAGCTTCTGTTTGAGCACAGATGCAATCGAAAACACATTTTAGTCAGAAGCAGCAGTGGCATGGACGAGAGATGTAACTTCCAAAAGAAGCTGATAATACAGAGCTGATTCAAGAATTCAGTTTTTTAATCAGCTCTTACACTGGATTTAAAAAGACACATTTCATTTTGATTGAAAATTATCAAAACTTCATAAAAACAGACCTAATTAAGTGATGGAAATAGGTTCAGAGAAAATTTTTGCTTTTGCATAGACACTAAAACCTCTTTTACACAAAGATCTGTGGGAATACACAGGTTTTTGTTTTTTTAAATAAGCTCATTGACTTACTTTCCCCACTGACCCTAACCCCATTTTTTCCCTTCGTGACTCATGTTCAAGGAAGTTCAATGCGTGACATAACTTTGCACCAAAATAAAGAAGAAGAAATTCATGTTTCCATCACTGTTGATTGGAAACTGAGTCAACAAAAACATAGGTCTATGCAGAGTCATTTGCTCTGGGAGTGGGAGTGGGTTTATCGATCTTGGAAAAGGGGCTTAAAGGGATAGTTCACAGAAAAATGAAAATCCACTCATTATCTACTCATTGCTATGTCGATGGAGGGGGGGTGAAGTGCTTTAGTCCACCAATCACTTTTGGAGTTAATAATTAATGAAATTATTTTAAGATGACTGGTAATGGCAACTGGTAATTTGCCTGGTTTCATACATTCACTCACTCACTCACTCACATTCAGTGTACAATAACTGTACTTCAACAGTATATTTACTACACATAAATAAGTCATTTGTCCATCACTAACATGGGGACAAACACAGTCTCAGTTCACAGGACAGACAAAAAGGAAGACAAAGAGAGAAGTTGCTGAATTTTAAGACCAATGAGTCACATGATCAGTCAAAGGAAGCTGAGACGTCTTTTCCCAAATCACTTAAATCCCTGTGATGTCAGGATTGAACACCTGAGGAGCTCTGTGCAACCCAGAAGATACATGCAAGTTGTTCTTCCAGTGAAAAAGAGCTGATGGCGTTCAAAGCTTTGCCGAAGGGAGACAGGAGGACACCACATCAAGGAGAGAGCCTGATATGTAATGGCCATTAGAGGAACATTACTTTGATTATAGTTCTTGTCTTACATGATTGTACCAAATTACTTCAGATACAGATACTTGAGCTTTTTATTCTGCTTGATTGAAGCTACAATATTTATTACTGCCGATGTTACTACTGGTGGAATAAATGTTCATTGATGTGCCAACATATCAGTCCTGTCACAGTGTCAAGTCAAGATAACGTAAACAAGATTAAATCCCAAAGGATACACTAAAATAAAACGTCCCTTCACTGAGGAACAGCAAAGTTAATGTTCATTTAAAACCTGATAATGAGGTGTTTTTATTGCTGGAATCTTTTGTAATTTTTGAAATTACTCCATAGTTCAGCAATTCCTAAATCAATAAAGTTTCCTCTCAGAGATAGTGTGTTGTAAAAGGAGCCAAGTTAATATTGAGGGCACTGTTTATATAAGGAACCTTTGACCTTTTCCATCCTTTCACAGTCATTTCTACCACTGTCAGTGTTCACACACTCTTAAAGATCCATTTAAGGACTTTTTTACTGGGACAATTCCATGAAATTCAAAGACACAGACAGAGGTTGATAACTGTTAGAACACTAACGTTTATAATGAGAACGTGCTGACTTTACAGAAGATCACAGACAACACATCAGAAGAGAGCGGCTCAAATGTGTGAACACTTAACACTCAAATGTTCTGCGTTCCAGTGATGGCAGACCACATGTTCTCCTGCAGCCTGATGCAAGTAAAAACATATCAAACCGACAAAGCAACTTCAATTTCTATTTTTGAACCTGTGAGCAAGAACCTGTGGGTGCCATGAAATATACAAAGCCTTGATCAGTCTCCATCACACTTAAATGTCTATGAAGAACAGTACATTTACACTATCATTTTGCAATATTAATACATATCTGTTTGTACTTCGTTGAACTTGAAACCATAATAAACACATTAATGTTTGTTTTATTTGAAAGGAGAGAGACGCAGTTAAAAATACACTGTGAAATCACACGTCTGACCATGATAACGTATTTACCATGTGCTACAACTCCGAGCATGCGTGTGTGTGTGTGTGTGTGTGTGTGTGTGTGTGTGTGGTGAGACAGAGGTCAGATAAGAACAAACACAACACACCACAGCCCATCTGTCAGTGTTTCTGTCAGAAACAGGAGCTATCTGTTCACCTGGTTGTGTGAACGTTGTCAGAAGTCTGTGTGTGTGTGTGTGTGTGTGTGTGTGTGTAGTAGTGAGACAGTACGCAGACCTCACTCAGATCATGTGCAGTTAGTTGGCAAAAGCAACTGAGGCCTTATTTAGCGTCTCAGAACTGAGAAACCCTCCTCCACTGCTGTACAGCTCAGATTCAATGAAAATCTCCGACTCCTCAACACTTCATCTGAGGAACTGAGACACAAAACGTCACTGTTTTCAAATCTTCTCTGAAAACATACTTTTTTACTTTTATCCCCTTTCTTTTTCCATTACTTTCAAATTACGTAGTACTATTTCATCTGCTGTCTCTGATTTTAGATTTTGCGCATCATTTGTTGTCATTGATTTTAGATTTGGCATTATATCATTTGCTGTATTTGATTTAAAATTGACATCTGGTCTTCCATGTTTTATATTCTTGTTTTTATTTTGTCCTCTTCAACATCAAATTGCTCCCACTCGCTCAACAAGAAATGATATAACCATAGTCATGCAGACGACACACAAATGTACATAACCATACCACCAGGGGACTGTAATCCCATTCACGTGTTGACTGAAAGATAAAACTGGATTCACTGTTTTCGGAGACAGGGAAGAACAACTTAAAGTCAGCTCTCAGCTTGAATCTGTAAAGTTAAAAACCACAAACCGAGGCAGACATTTTGATGGAGTCATAGACTCAGACCTTAACTTAAAGAGCCACATGAACACAACTACAAAGTCAGCGTGTTACCACATGAGGAATATATCACTGATGAAAGGACTTATCCGTGCATTTATCTTCAGCTGATTTATAGTGTGACTGTGTGTCTACAGGTCTCTAAAAAAAAATCAATCAGAGAAACTGCAGCTGATTTAAAATGCTGCTCGAGTCCACACTAACACAAAGAAGGTGGATCACATCACTCCAGTTCTGAGATCGTTACACTGGCTCCCTGTCCGGGACTAAATATATTTCTGTTCTACTGCTACAGAGGCAGCGTTCAGTATCTACGCTCCACACATGTGGATCAAACTCCCAGAGAACGTAGGTCTGCTGCAAATCTTAGTTCTGATAAATCAGTGCTGAAGAGTTCCCGGTTTGCCACGGCCTTTTATTAACTCCAATAACTACTCATTTCTTACAATGCACTGCTACCTTCAATCGGGAATATATATATTTTTTTAAATGCTTCTTTTTTATATTTTCTTTGGTATTTTCTTTTTGTCCTGAAGCCTTTAATTCTGTGTGTAAAGAATTAAAGATGCCTTGTCTCTGGTGAAGCACTGTGTAATGACTGTTTTGAAGGGTACTACATAGATAGTATCATTACTATACTTTTTAAAGTGTGTACACTTCATGTGCTAGATGTAAATAATATATGTGAAAGCATCACAATGTGCAGAGTTTGCTTTCTTTGAATTTATCATGCTACAGTAATATTTATACAAGGTTTATTTAATTTTTCTCTATGGTGTTGGGCGGTGAACAATTCATAAACTCAAACTTAATTCATAAATATATCTATATATATATATTTAACTAGCAGGTGACCAAGACTCAGATCCTGTCAGTGGACATTAATGGACAGAGTCTGTGAGAGTGGATCAGACTGCTCCTGCTGCCTGAGAGAGACTTTTAATGAGTGGAGATTTACTGTGACAGGATTAGGCATCAGTCTTATTAAAGAGGAGCCCACACAACATTTTCACTTCTGAGTGAGACAAAGAAAACAGAAGGAACCGATCAGAGAAGAGAAACCAGGAGCCCACATGGTCCAGCTGACCTGAGACAGGACCAACTAAATGAAAGTGTCTAAAATGCAGAGATCACATGGAAACATCCGCTGCGTGAAGTCATGGTGTGAAGCAACAGAAAGAGTGAAGGACTACACGAGTTACCAAACTGTGGGACTCTCTCTCTCTCTCTCTGCACCTGCTGCAGTTTCTATCATCTCCACAGGACTATCCACTTCACAACCACAAGTCCACATGCTCTGCTCTCACCTGAAGACATCAAGTTATTCCGATTTCTCTGTTTGGGCCAGTTCAGCTCCTCGCGGCTCGCTTCATTCACACCATGAGCAGAAACGATGCGATGCCAAGCGGATATGAAGCTGTGATATCGCCCGGCTCTGAGGCTGAGCAGCGGCCGAGCGAGGAGGTGAGTTCAGCGGCTGCGGTTCAGTTCGTCTGCCCCGAGGATCCGTGGAACTAAACTTCTCTGACGATCACTTCGCCTCCATGTGGGACCAGCCTGAGAAGCGATGCATGCAAACAAAGCGGCTGAGTGCAGCGGAGTGAAGGTAGAGAAAACATGGAAGCACGTCCGGTGGAAGTATTTTCAAAATAAACTGATTATGAACATTGTCACCAGTTACGTTGAAACGGGCACAGTTTTCTGATATCAGCCCGATTGAGACAATAGGGAAGACAATGCCACGAAAACAGGATGATTGCCTCAACCTCAATAAGTTCATACTCAGAATAAGCAATTATCGAAGTAAGACGTGGACTCAGGGACAGATCTAGGATTTTTCTGAGTCAGGGGCCATAAAGGGGCCACAATTTACACATGGGAACTGCGGGGAATATATTTCCAACATCCATTCACTTCAGGGGCCAATTAGATTGACTTCACCCCTGATTCTGACCTTAGTGATAACATGTAAACGTGTAGACGTCTTTACCTTATTATAACGTCCTATAGTTTTCACAGAATTTTGTGACATTGACATACGGCCCGTTACCGACAGCAAAGAAAAATTGTTGCATCATGCAGTTAAGTTTTGACATTCTGGTGGGAATGTTTGAGGCACGACGTAACGTTGATGTGAGTCACAATCAGAGTATACCTTTAACATATAAATAGGAAAATGAATGGGATATTCTATTATTCTATATTCTATTAATACATGTAAACATGATGATCAAAATAATGTCAGAATAAGAAAAAATAATTATTGTTGTCCAAACGTAGTTATAATAATAATAAGTATTATTACGTGCAGGGTTAGCTTCTTTTGAATTTAACATGCTATACAGCATGACTTATTTATATATCATTATAATTATTATTATTAATATGATAATCACTTCACTGTCTTTTATAGGAATAGTTTGTACACGCATGTATATTAACACTCTGAATTGCACATAATACACTAAATTGCTGCTGCCTCAGTAGTTAATGGTAGAAAACTCAGCTGAGTTGAAGGAAATATACCGATTTAATTGTTTCATTTATTCATTCACACAATGTTGTACAAAGCATATTGAAACGTTTTTACATGTTGAATTCATCTCTTGCTTTTATTTTGTAGATTTAAATGCTTTCAGAGGAAACGGTACTCTTACCTTCTCAGTGAACTTTACGGGTTGGGAACTTTTCAACTTTGCATTGAAAGCATTTGCACTGTTCCTTGGTGTTCACGGATTTTTCCATCTTCATGCACAAACAGACTTAAGACAGTTTGATGGGATTTTGAAAGCAGTTTTTGTTTATTTTAGCTTTGTACTGACTAAGCTCGATACATCCTGTCAGTGTAGTGTGCAGGTATGTATCTATGGTTATAAAAACGTCATAGTATAGGTCTATCTTGATTAATGGCTTCTCTAAGTGCTCATGGTGAACATTAACTGATGAATGGGAACACGAGGAGTCTGATATGAGAGATATACCAGAGGCTGCGTCACATCCACACTGGAGGGTCACGGGGGGCTTGTGTCCCACTACCGGTCCCATTCAATGAATGACGTCATTCTACTCTCAGATGCTTTGTGTGTGTGTGTGTGTGTGCATTCGGTTTGGTTCGCCACAATGAATGGAAGTTAAAGGTACAGTGTGTAGAATTTGGAGATAACAAGTGTTTAAATCGCATGTTGCAGCTGAACACCCCTCACCTCACCCTCTCCTTCCAAACATGAAAAAGAAACTGTGGTAGCTTCAGTTGTCATAAAAACTCAAAAGGTGTTTAGTTTGTCCAGTCTGGACTAATGTAAAACACATGGCGGCCTCTGTAGAGAGGGTCCCCTTAATGTAAATATAAAGTATTTAAATACAAAAGGCTCCTTCTACGGTAAAGACAAAAACAATTCATACAATTGAGATGAAATGAACTAGTGAAAACATCATGAGGATTATTCTACATTCAATTTCTGCCAATAGTTCCCTTTCACCTAAATCTTACACACTGGACCTTTAATACAAAGTCCTAATAAGGGCTGCTGCACAAACTTGTGTGTGTATGTGGATGGGGGTTGCTTTTTATCAAGGACAAATAAAACACATAAGAATAAATAAATAAATAAATGTAGAAACACATAATACAGTATCTTTGATTCATTTATTTGTGTATTTAATTGTTTTTTCTGCATGTTTTTATTCAAGTTTGTATTTATTTATCTATATTCATGTCATTCTTTGTCTTTCATAGATTTTAGGTTAAACCTTGAGTAGTATAAACTACTTTGAGACAAAGTGTCCTAGGAAATTACAAGTACAAATCAAAGAGCCTTTAAACTGTAACGTGAAGCTGATTTGTTTTATGTTCATCATGATTTCCAGTTGCAGTGAAGTAGATGAATTTGCTCTGCAGTCATTTTAATGGAGATCACTGCTGTGTCCCCTGAAGACTGCTTTACGCTCTCCTGTGTGCGGTCTGCCGTGTGTGCTCCCATGTCTCCTAGCAACGCAGGAATGCTCCATGTAGAGGTGGTCTACCTAAAACTAAAACACACTTTCTCTATACACAAACAATTTTCTCATAACATATGTATCATAAATATTTTCCAAACACATTTTCTCTCATTCATACACAAACAATAGTTTCTGTGAGTAGAGTTTAGCCTTCATTCTATCTGAAGATCCTCGGCCTCCCCTCTGGCGCTGGGGATCGTATGGCCCACCACGCTTCCGCCAACAAACAGCGGTGAGTTCGGAGGTAATTAAACATTTGGAGTTTGATGAAGAGCGAACAAAGTAAGAATTCAGCTTTTCCAGCGGGATGCGTGTGGACTTATATTCTGATTAAATGCCCACACGTTACTCGTCAGGTTTGAACTGCTGTCTTGTTTTCTGTCTCGTCCTAATGTCTCCAATCTCATGCAAAGTTACAGACCAACCGTTGATCTGACCTGGACGCTCCAAGTCAACGTTACAGTGGATTCATCGCTTGTGAGTAAACGATCGACCTCTCACACACTGTTTTATTCATATTTATTCATTATTTAATATGAGGAGACAACACGTCTGGGTCATGTTTGGAGACATGTCTCACAGGTGTCCTGTGTCCTGCTGCTCATTTAACTCATTGCCATCAGTTGGTGCATGTTGCAGGCAGCCATTTATACTGCAGCTGTGGGAAGACGTGAGTCTGATATCCTCATGATAAATCTTCTAACACGACACAGAACAGTGTGAAGTATGTTCATGTTTGGATTTATAGGTTTTGAGCCTTTATAAAAATGACTTTGTGAATGAAATGTGATGTTGATCAATGTCAAATCATCTCCTCACATGGGGACACTTATCTTGACCTAAATGTTGATTTCACTTATGGTAAACTTTTGTGTGGCATATTTTAAAATTACCTGAGACGTTTCAAAAATGAAGTACACGTATTAGTTTTGAGCCTTGATAATATGACTATTTATTGATAATATGACTATGACATCTGTGGATACATGTGTATTTGACTTAAATGTTCA